ATGTGCACAGGTAGTGCCGGAGCGGGAACAATAGCCACGTGTCGTCTGTTGGATACAGGAACTCGAGTCCACTGGGCCGCGGCACCGCGCTCTGCCATGATAAGGTCCAAATTGTCTAAACCTTCATAGATCGGATATGGATCTCGGTTACCGTGTTTCGTCCGAGCTAAGCCGTGTTCAGTACTCTGCGGAACTAGAATGGCACTGATGAAAACCAACATAAACAGTGCTTTATTAGTTATATTCAACAAGGATTTCTGTTGTCAACCAAAAACAGTAATTGATGTGCGTAGTAGTTTGTCAGGGGATAATTGTTGGAGTAAGACTGCGTTACTAATTTAAATAAAAATGGACTAATTAACTAGGAATTTTCCAATACTAGATTGCTTTCGATGGGGCAGTGAATTACTAATGTTAGTCTAGTAGTAAGTAAGATTGTCTGACAAGGAAAAATACAGCTTCAACCTGCTCTTTTAAATAGAGAATATTGAGCACATTTTCCGGCACAATCGGTGATCACAGTTCCATGTTTTATTGAGTCTGTTAAATGACTTTTACACTAAGGTGTCATTGATTGAAAACTACAACTATGTTTGACAGTTTGATAACTCAAATGAGGACTGCGCCTGTACAGTTCGCATACAACATAGGTTACCGAAATGCTATTAGTTGCTCGCTTTCACAGGTAAAACTTCCCGCCCACGTTCGTTGTACAGATGCGTTTGGAGGACTAGAAATGAAACATTCATGGAGCAGTGGCTCACAGTTGATTGAAGCGTTTACCACACACGTATGTGGGGGTGGGGGGGGTGGGGGGGGGGAGAGGTGATCACCTGATTGACCGATGCCACCTGCTGCCACACACGCAGAATTATTCGATTACGAGAGCGCTTCGCTTTGGTGAATCCAATTTAAATATTGAAAAGCCCGCTACCACTGATGCCTTCCTAGCCTGACTACTCAATATCGATATTCCCCAATTTGATGTGATTTCTGCGCTTGCAATGGACCTACCTGCCTGATTTCTTACGTACCGGTTCACGGATGTCGCCACTAAAAGAGAAAGTAACAACCGGTAAAAAACGCTACCTGATCGATGCGTTTCCCAACAATTGTGTGCACAAAAACACGAGTAGCAGGGTCTCTAGATCAAATAAGCTAGTCCACCGAAAGAACGAATTTGGCTCTAAAGTAGAATATAAATCAGTGTTGACAGAGTATTGAAAATCGGTTTTCGTAGCTCGGGTGAACTGAATTCCACTGCACCTGTTCACCGAGCTTGGCAATTTCTTTGCAAATATTTCATCACCAGCTGAAGTGACATTATTAGAGCTTGTCAAAAGTTTTCTGGCATACAACGCTAAAAGCAACTCGCCGATGGGAGACCTTCGCCTGCCAAGAAGTCTCCACTCACAATCAGCTATTTTTCCTTCACGAGTGCTTACGGCGCAATTTACTTTCACACAGTGTATATGTGGTTATCCAGGCCTACAAGATGACGCCTACCCTGGAGAGGCGCGTTTCGGGACACCTGCGATCAATCAAATTTCAAAGGTGACTTCAATGACGCGCGTTCGTGTCACTGCTTCTGACTAAACACCATAGACAGACCGTACCAGCCAATCCGAGACTGCAGTCCAGACAGAAGCAGAATGATGCAAGCAATACTGAAATGTGATTGGCGGAAACCTGGCTAACCAATGATCTTTTGTACATATTATTAAATCGCCCTTGATCCTTCCAATAAACAAACTACCATTCCTATGGCTTTTTCTTCGCTTCTCAGTTACATGGGATATTGAGTGCTAGTGGCATTGCGATCCATTGCTTCCGTGATCCAGTCCGTGATAGCTGATCCTTGATTCGTGTTCCGTGATTCGTATTACCTGGTCCGTATTCCGAGTCCAGTGTGCATGACTACTACTACTACGATCATTACAGTATATCATAGACCACCGATCAATCACCTGGAGAGGCCACTACACAAGTACTGATGATCTCACCTCGCCTGGTGAGGAAACGTTCACAAAAAGGTGAAATTTAATAAATCAGGGTGTCGATTATTTTGACGCAAACGAAGCTGTAGAACTCTCATCTGTTTACCCCAGTTAGACATAGTGGCATTATATTGCTCACGTTTAACCGTCGGCTGAACAGATGTGTATGGAACCGATTCCTTGTCAAAGATTTGTTCAGTATCGCTGACTCGATTACGAAAACGATCGATTTATGAAGTTCTGTGGTTTTAGGCTTCAAATGAATCATTCAGTGGACTTACTTAGTTGTTTAAGAAATGGAAAGAAAGATTTGGTTTTCATGGGTGCACGCTGCATGTTGTGCCTTGTGCCACAATTGCATTCACAGGCCGTAAAGAAGTCGGGCTGGAAACCGCTGTGTTGAGTGGGTATGGGAAATTTTGAGTAGATGATTCAATGACTCCTGGCAGTTTGCAAGGGGCCGCAAAAATCCTTGGGTCGAATGATAAATACCTCTTTCGAAACAGTTTGTTAGGATATGTTAGATATCACACCTGGTACCCTTTTCGGCGACTTCATTAAAACAGTAAACGTTTTAAGAATGCTAACAATGACATTTTAGTTCTTCTGTGTTAAATGGGAAATATTATTCTAGTCACATGATTTATATGGGGAAAAACTTGTTTTCAAAGCATTTGAAATGCATATCATACTCTTTTGTATTGTTGTTTGAATTGTATGTATTCTGGGATATCAGGTTGTACTAATTGATAGCCGTTTTATCAGCTAGTTTCGTCATATGTATGTATCAATCGGAGGAAATAGTTGACGGGTTCAAAAGTGAGCAATAGTCACCAATAAAATGCGGTTTGTAGTAAAGGAATAGAAGATCAGTGAGGAATAAGGAAAGATAATCAAGTTGCGGAGAATCAATTGCCGGTGGCTTCAAGCATTTCAAGGTGATGGTAGGGAGGACTTTATGTTGTTCAAAACACTCCAAGTCCTGGGGCTTCCATCACTAAATGGCTAGTGCCAATGACTGTGGGATTTACCCTGACTGCTGTTCAGCACACTAAGGTGTGTTTATAAAAAGGTTTTATCCGCGCAATCATTCATTCTCTTAGTGATACGCGAACCGGTGATACTGTGACCGAATCAAATGGACATAGATTCGCGATATTTTCCCTGCATTTCGAGCTTGTAGTGGAGGATTCAGTTCGATTACGTGTGGAATTTCAACTTGGCAAGGTCGAACTTGTTGTACTGTGCTATTCGGGGTTCTAATAAATGTTATATCTTCTCTCAATTCTCTTATATGGAAGTGACTGATAAAGCAGATTGTGTATTCGTTCCCCCTCCTCCCCGTCCCCCTGCATAATGGTCAGGTCTCTGTTTGAGTTATGAACATTGGACAATACTACCAAGATTTTTGAAGTTGTCGAAAGGTTAAAATAGTGAACTATACTGTACCGGTATATCAATATCGCAAATAGCCCAAAATAGACCCAAGTCAAAACCTCCGATCGAACTACGCGTACACACAATAAGCACTTACAAATCACCGATCACGGATAGCACCGAAACAACCGGATTAGTTGTCCCATGTTTATGTTTCGGTCCCGAATGGACTCGCTCAAATGTAATTGAGACAAGTGTACCGAGATTTTCCCTTTTTCTTTTATTCTGCTTTCCCCATGGAGCAAAAGGTTCAGTCTCGGATGATTCAATGCGCCTGACATAAAATAATGCCGGCGATGCAAAAATGGTCACCGTGTATTGCATTGCATCTGGACCCCCAGAGTTTCCGTG